AGTCGTCCTATAACATCATAATGGGACGGACGAGCTTGAATGCATTCCAGGCAGTCGTATCCACGTACCACATGACGATCAAATATCCGGTGGGCGAAAACATAGGGGAGATTGTCGGGGATCAGCTCACTTCGAGAAGTTGCTACCAAACAACAGTCAGCAATAACAAGCAATTGGCGAAGAGGCAGGCCGAGTCGAAGGGGGAGGAGATTAATCGACCGGGGGGATCGAGGTCGAAAGAGGATAAGCACAAGGTGGAGAAAGGTAAGGAGAAAATGGATATCCAAATGGGGGAAGAAGTTGAGGAGATTCAAATGATCGAGGGGTGTGAAGGGAGAAAGTTCAGGATCGGAAAGGATCTGGAAGAGCCTATTCGGTCGAGGCTGATCCAGTTGGTTAGGGAGTTCGCTGATATTTTTGCCTATACAGTAGAGGAGTTAACGGGAATAAGTGCGGAGGTGATCGAGCACCGGCTAAACATCGACCTCAGCGTGAGGCAGGTGAAGCAGAAAAGAAGGCACCATGGGGTGGAGATGGACAAGATCATCGAGCAGGAGGTTGAGAAACTGTTGGGAGCACGACATATTAAAGAGATTCAGTTTCCCGAATGGCTGTCGAACACGGTGATGGTGTCGAAGGCGGAAGGGAAGTGGAGGATGTGCATTGATTTCCGCGATCTGAAAAAAGCATGCCCGAAGGACTTATATCCACTGCCCAGAATTGATCAGCTGGTCGACTCAACGGCAGGGTGCGAGCTGTTGAGCCTGATGGATGCCTCCCAGGGATACCATCAAATTCCTTTGGCGAGAGAGGACAGGAAGCGGGTGAGTTTCGTAACGAGTCGAGGGACCTATTGTTACGTGGTCATGTCGTTCGGCCTAAAGAACGCGGGCGCCACGTATCAAAGGTTGGTCGATAAAATCTTTAAGGAACAACTGGGGAGGAACATGGAGGTGTATGTGGATGATATGTTGGTGAAAAGTAAGGAGGAGTTGGATCACGTGCGAGATTTGATAGAAACGTTCCTAACATTACGGAGGTATGGGATGAAGCTGAATCCTGCTAAATGCTCTTTTTGGGTGAGGTAAGGAAAATTCTTGGGTTACTTGGTGACCGAGAGAGGTATTGAAGTCAATCCGGAGAAGGTTCGAGCTGTGATGGAGATGAAGTCGCCGACGAATGCTAAAGAGGTGCAGATCTTAGCTGGTCGAATTGCGGGGCTGAGTCGTTTCATATCGAAGGTGGCGGAGAAGAGCGGCCCATTATTCAAAACGTTGAAGAAGAGTGCGAAATTCCAATGGACGGAGGAGGCACAGAAGGCATTCGAGGAGTTGCGAGGGGTGCTGCCCAACCTTCCATTATTAGCCAAACCCATGCAGGGCGAAGAGCTGGTGCTATATATTTCTATTGGAGAGAGGGCTGTGAGTTCGGTGTTGTCACGGGAGGAAGGAGTAACACAATTTCCTATCTACTATGTGAGTAGAGTGATGCAGGGGGCCGAGACGAGGTATTTGGAGATTGAGAAGTGTGCTTTAGCTGTGGTTGTAACTGCTCGAAAGTTAAGACCTTATTTCTTGAATCATAAGGTGAAGGTGCGAACAAATATGCCGCTGGGAGAAACACTTGGTCGGCCATCAGTCTCTGGTCGATTAGTGAATTGGGCGGTCGAATTGAGTGAGTATTCTTTGATGTACGAGCCAAGGAGGGCCATAAAGGCACAGGTGTTGGCTGATTTCATCCAGGAAGGCACGAAAGTCGAGGAGGAGTCAGAGGGGTTATGGCAGTTGTTTGTGAATGGATCTGTGGCCCGAAGCAGGACGGGATTGGGAATTGTCCTTGTCTCTCCCAAGGGCGATTACTTGGAATTTTTGGCTAAAGTGGGGTTCAAGATATCTAATAATGAAGCCGAGTATGAGGCAGTGATTAAGGGCTTGAGTCTAGCCAAAGCAGGAGGAGCTCGGAAATTACAAGTGCATTCTGATTCTCAACTGCTGGTTGGGCAGTTTCAAGAAGGGTTTGAAGTCAAGGAGGATCGGATGCAAAAATATGTGGAGGAGATGAAGAAGCTGAGAGAGGAGTTTGATTCGTTCGAACTAATACAAATTCCTCAAGGAGAGAATGGTCGAGCAGACCTATTGTCGAAGATTGCTCAGAGCTTGGTTGATTGCAAGAGTAGAAGTGTCACTCTGTTGCATCTTGAAAAGAGTGTGGTCGAAGCAGAAGTGGCGGAGATCGAAGAAGTAGAGGATTGGAGGGCCCCGATCTCGAAGGAGCTGAGAGGAGGAGCGATAAAGGTGGTTAAGAGGTTTTTTGAGCATCGAGGCATTCTTTACAAACGATCATATGGAGGACCACATTTGCGTTGTGTTACTAAGGAAGAAGGTCGATACGTGCTAAGAGAGATGCACGAAGGGTGTTGTAATGACCATAGTAAGTCAGGGGCCTTGGTCGCGAAGATTTTGAGGGCAGGATATTTTTGTCCAACGATGAGAGAAGATGCGAAGACGATGGTGAAGAAGTGCTTGCAATGCCAAAAACATGGCCCCCTTATCCACCAACCGGCCGAAGCAATGACAACGATGAGTGCTCCTATACCATTCGCCCAGTGGGGTATCGACCTGGTGGGGCCGATGCCTCAGGGAACCGGGCAGAGGAAGTTCCTGATAGTGGCGGTCGACTATTTCACAAAATGGGTGGAATCCGAGGACTTGGCAAAAATAACGGAGGAGAAAGTAATCAAATTTCTATACAGTAACATCTGCTGTCGGTTTGGTATACCCAAAGTGTTGATTTCCGACAACGACACTCAGTTCAATGGGAAGCGGATTCGAGCATGGTGTGAAAATATGAAAATCGAACAACACTTTGCCTCTGTGGCGCATCCGCAAGCTAACGGCCAGGTTGAGGTAACCAATCGAATTATACTGAATGGGCTGAAGACAAAGTTGGAGAAGGCCTCGGGAGCATGGGTCGATGAGCTGAGTTCTGTACTTTGGGCATATCGCACAACCCCGAGGTCGACGACAGGAGAAACCCCGTTCAGCTTAGCTTATGGGATGGAAGCGTTGCTGCCGGTCGAGGTCGAATTATCATCCCAGAGGTCGAACACGTATGATGCTGAACAGAACGAGGAGCTAATGATGGCGGCCTTAGACACTATTGAGGAGTTGCGTGGGAAAGCATCAATCAGGGTGGAGGCATACAAGCAAAGGATGCGAGCCGCTCACGACAAAAATGTGAAGATTCGCAGACTCCAAGTAGGCGACCTGGTTTGGAAGCGTGTCGATGTGCTCAAGCATGTGGGAAAGATGGAGCCGAATTGGGAAGGGCCATATCTGGTCGAGCGAGTGCATGCAGGAGGAGCGTACTCGCTGAAAGATGCCGAGGGCTGATTGCTTGCCAGGTCATGGAACATAGCTAATTTGAAAAAATATTATGTCTGAAAATTTTTGTTTTTTTCTAAGAAGCCTGGAAAGTTCGAACAATGATGTAGATTGCAAAGTTTGTTAAAAGTCAAAGAAATTCAGTGATTTTTCTGATTT